CTCCAACAACTTTTCTTTTTGACAAGTAATCAATTGGTTTGTTACTAAGATTATGTATCCCTCCTATAACCCGCGCCCAAAGTGTATCAGGTTCTGGTTTGAGGCGCCACCACCATTTTACCGGTAAGGCTATATTGAGTGATTTGATAGATCCAACTCCCGGTCCTCCTTGATCCTTCTTTCTCCCAAGCCACCTAGCTGATCTTGCTACGTCCTTCAGCTACATCCTTCGGCACACCCCACTCAGCTACATCCTTCAGCACCCCCACTGGAATCTACGCCTTATTTTTTTATTAGAATCAAGCATTCACAAGGGAGCTCCGAAGAACGACAGAAAGTAGGTTGGCAAGTTCCCTAAGACATAATTAATGAGCGTATGTTGCCCCCCAAATGACAAGGTCTTAGATTTCCATCCCGAAAGTTTAGAGTAGAATTTATCAATTACAGGCTTCTAGTTCTTAGCATGGATCATGTTTGCTCCTACCAAGACTCCGAGGTAGGTAAATGGCATATCACCCACCTTACATCCCAATATGCTAGTCCATTGTGATGTTTTTCATATTCGATACTCCCACTCCATATACTTTCGATTTGTTGAAGTTGACCTTAAGTCCCGACGACACATGAAAGAATTTGAGTATTCGTGCAAGATTTTTAAGATTAATTTACACCATTGACCCAAAAACAATGTGTCATCTGCATAAAATAAGTGAGATCTCAATGGACCATTTTTAGGAATGTGAATGCCTTGAAGATTTCCTTTTTCAACAGCCGATTTGATAGCTACGTTTAATCCTTCCATAACAATGATGAATAAGAAAAGTGAGAGTGGGTCACCTTGCCTAACACCTTTCGAAATCAAAAATTCTTCGAATGGAGACCAATTGACTAATACGGATGCTCGAGTTGATGAGAGACATCCTCGAATCCACAGTCTCCATTTATTTCCAAACCCCATTTGCGTCGTTACTGAATCCAAGTATTCGCAGTTGGTAGAATCAAACGCCTTATGAAAGTCTACTTTAAATAGGATTTTCTTCTTGATACTCTTCGCCCAAGAGCATAGTTCGTTGACAATGAGCGGTCCATCAAGTATTCCTAATTGGTAGAGTCCTAATACCTTCCCAATTACCATCCTGATTCTCACGGAGAGAATTTTATAGAAAATATTGTGCATGCACCCGATTAGACTAATCGGTGTGCAATCACTTAAGAGGGTTGGCTCTTTCACTTTAGGAGCCAAAGTGACAAACGAGGAGTTGCACGACCGAGCAATCAAACCTCTGTCTTCGAATAACAAATCTTTTTGTAGAAATTGGCTATTTGAAATAAGTATGTTTGGAGTAAATTACATGAATGGTTTGTGTCACTAATGTTAGCATAATATGTTATTTGGGTTCTTTTTGTATTCGACCTTTTGTTTAGCTTAGGACCTAATGTTTTTCCCATTAGCTAGATTAACTATAGATAGTTTTTTTATTTAAGTATTATTTACCTTTCTTTTTATTAACAATTTTCTATCTCCAATGTAACCCTAGTTGTATATTAATATTATTTCTTTGTAGGTACTTATTAGTTTAGTTTACATTGTATCAGAGTCGTGTTCGATCTATCTTTTATCTTTTATGATTTTTTGATATGTTTTTTTTTATTTGCTTCTTTATTTCGTTCGAATTTGTCGTTTTCAGGGTATTATTACTGTTACTTTCTAGTTTTAGATGTTTGTTTTTCATCGATTTCGTGTTGCGATATGTTATATCGCTCCACAAAAATACTTGTTGATGGATATTTTTTCGAAGCGGTTGTGTGAATCTTATCGCAATTTGTGAATCTCTCCGCGAACATGGAGTTGTAAAATTTGCGATTTTTGGTAAAATTTTCTGATTTGTTTATGTATTTTGTTTGCTTGTTTTGTTCAGTTTTGTCATTTTTAAGGGCTTCACTTGTTGTTGTTTCGTCGTTTTTTCATGCTGTTTTTTGTATTTTACGCTCCAAAATGCCTTTTGTCGTCATTTTCACACCATGATATCTCACTGCCGCTGCGAAAATACCTTTATTCGTCGATTGCTCGCCGAGATAATTCTAACCGCGTCGCGTTTTTTGTATGGTGTTTCACTATTCATCATTCATACTATCCATCGCAAGTATTCTTCGTCGTTACTATTAATCGTCTGGTACCGTTCATCGTTTGTCCATTTTAATTATTGTTCGAAGTTTTGTTTGTTTGGTTGCTGCAGGTATATGCCCGTATTCAGTATTAGTATTAGTTTGCTTTTATTACACTTTTCTTTTATTACAATTCTCTATCAATTATGAAACTTAGTCGAAAGTTTTATTACATTTTTTTCTTTTGTTGTCAGAGCTCTTGAAAACCTTGGTCGTTGAAAGTTTCCTAGTCTTGTTATTCTTAATGTTTCCGGTTCAACTCTTGTTCTTTTTTGTTTATTTTGAAAGCTTCTTAAAAAAATATTGTTTTACTTTTGCAAGAATGTCACTTCATATTAAAAACAATATTAATTCCTTGGTCTTACCTTCTTGTTACAAATATGTTTGTTAAGGGTTTTAATGTTTTTCTACTTAAGTTTAGTCTTATAAAAAGTTTTCTTGTTCTTTAGGTTTATCTTTTACTCTTGCGTCACCTTATATAGTCATTTTTTTTTCTTATGAGGTATTTGGTTTAAAGTTTTGAAACAAAGAGATGTCTTGTTTGAATTAATCTTTGTTTTGATAAATATATTTTTCGTTTCCGCCTCCGTTTTTGTCACTAGTGTTGGGATCCATATCAGATTTCATAGCATTTGATTTGGTGTTATTCTAGCGTTCTTGTTCTAGTTCAAGTCCTTTTTTCGTTTTATAGTTGTAGATTTCGTTCTGGTTCTAGTTACAACAATTGGATTAGGTGTTTAAATCCATAACTATAATTGATATCAACTTGAATTGATAGTAGCATAGTCCTTTTGTGTTGTCTTAAGACCTAGCAATTGAATATGATAAGTTTTAGAAAGAGAGAATGATTTATTAATTTATTATATGACTAATAAATTAATTAGAAATCAAAATAAATAATTTTTTAATATATTATGAGAATAATATATTAATTAGAAAATAGTAACATTTAATTAAGAATTAAATATAAATTAACTGGATTAATTTTGTGATTAACTGGATTAATTAAAAGTAGGAGGACAATAGTAGACTATGTTCAATAGTTGAGCATTGAAGAATTCTAAAACCTCCCATAAAGAGGGGGGCACAAAATCTAGAATGTTTCTAGGGTTTCCTTAGGCTTTAAGGGTGCCTTGGACGCCTAAGGCTCTAAGGGTGCCTTGGATTAGGGTTATCATGGAGATACCTACTTTATTCAATACTTTCGTAACACCTATATAAACCCCTCTTTGGGTTTAATTTCGTCCATGGCTTATTCCTTAGAGGAAATTCCGATTTTTGCTTCTATTTTTCTCTCCCACTCTCTCTGTTCAAGTCCCTTGGTTGCTAGGGATTTGGTATGAACCATTAGTGGCACGACACTTGCTTGCTACCAAAGGTTTTTCATGTAAGGATTCAAGATTGTTTATAATAACAATCTTAAAGGTTAGATTTCTTGTCTTATGAATTAGTTTGTTCATATGAAAAGTTTTGTAGATTAGCCATTCATAGTATCTTGTTATACTTGAAAGACGTAGGTCAAAGTAGGTTGCATGTGCTCTAATTAATTGAAATTGTTTTGATTATTTTTCCGCTTATGACATTGGACATGTAACCTCAAAAACCCATCAGTGGTATCAGAGCGTAGGGTTATCTTTCTTGTATTTTCACATTGGTAAATCAGGAAAGAAACATATTTTCGGGTTTGTCGCAGCTCACGACGTGAGCTCAATTCGGACAGGATTTTCTTGCTTAATCTACGTTAACAGCTTTTATATAATATCTACTTGTTATGTTTATCCCCAAATCCGATTTTTGAGTATCCATCATGATAAATTAAAAGCCTAGAAGTTAGCAGATTAGCATTTGACATAATTAATTATTTTGTGATTAATATAATTGATTTTTAAGTGCTTAAATAATTAATTGGATATTAATGGAACTTAACAATTAAATATTTTGTTTATCTTAAATTTAAATTATCTTAATTTTGAAATTTATTATAAACCCTAGTATTTTAAAACGTTTAAAATACATCCTAATGGATCTTATTATTAATTTAATTAAATGATTAAAGTGCTAGGTCTCGCTTAGATTGAATTGACGTGTTCAATTAGTAATTTGAACAATCCACCACAATAGTATGGAATAATGTTAACATTCTCAACACATTGCGTCATCAACCCAAAATGTGCTGGTTGCTACCATACCGGAATGCCTCAATGCTGTAACACAAAGTAATGAAGCCGGCACAAAAAATAGTGACAGAAATAGGTTAGGATATGGTGTTAAGACTAATCATATGAAATTTGATTACTTTATGCCTTTCATTTAATTTCCAACCTAAATATGCATGATGTTTTAGTGTTTAAGAGAGCATATTGTTGTGAGTTTTAAAAATTTTGTTATGAGAGTTGAGAGTTCAATGAAGGTCTCTGTACACCAATAAGGATCTCTAATTTTGCAGTTTATATGCAACTATTTTCAATATATTTATCCCTTAATCTGTTTATTTTTCTTATTCATATGCAACATTTCAGTGTTCTCATATTCTTGTTTATAAATCTTCTCCAGAAGAACTATAGAGATTAATTGCTTCTGTTTGGTAACAACAATACATTTTATACTTACGTAGTTATTTAGCTTTGGTGATGTGTTTTTATATCTAACGACCAACGTAGACTGTGGCTCAGCATAATACATTCTTGCTTATTTTATATATCGAAAATAGGTAATATACTTACCTTTGAAAAGCAGTTTTGAACCATTTTGACACAGCTCTAATTAACAAAAGAATGATTTTAATACAATGCATAAATTTACGCAACCACATAAATGAGCACAAGCGTGGCAATTCAGTTGGGGGGTCCAGCATGACCATTCAACAATGACTGCAGTTCTTTAACAACAATGCTCATGTTTGGTCTAAAATCAGCATCATACTGCACACACACAGCCGCTACTTCCGCCATCTTGGCAACTGCTTGTGGCGGGTATTCTCCAGTCAGTCTAGCATCAACACAATGTAACACCTTATCTTCACTAAGTCTTGGTGTTGCCCAGGTGACTAGACTCTGTTGACCACGTGGCAAAGTATGGTCAACAAGTTTTCGTCCAGTCAAGAGTTCCATCAGAATAACTCCAAAGCTGTAAATGTCACTCTTTGAATTTATCACTCCGGTCATGGCATATTCAGGTGCATGATAACCAAATTAAGGTATCATGAGAACTGACAGAATGAAGACATGCTGCCATGTCTGGGGTTTTTCGTGTTAAATCAATATCTCTAATCTTAGCCACATAGTCTTCAAAAAGAAGAACATTACTGGACTTCATATCTGCATGAATAATTGGAGGTTGTGTCTTCTCATGCAAGTATTCAAGCCCTTTTGCAGCCCCAACAGCAATTTTAACTCTTTGGGACCATGATAGAGCAGGACCTGGTCGTGCACCTATATAATCTTTTCGTCCATGAAGAATATCGTACAGAGAGCCAATTGAAGCAAACTCATAAGCAAGTACAGTCCAATCACTATCTACACAATATCCAAGTAGCTCGACCACATTTTCGTGTTTAAGCCTTGATACCATAGAAATCTGAGCTAAAAAGTCGTGGTCTGGTTGCTTTGTAGAGTAGTCAAACTTTTTAATAGCTGCAACCTGCCCACTTTTTAAGACACCATAATACACTCTTCCATACATTCCCTCCTCAATGAATGACACTGAACAAAAGTCATAAGTGATTTCCTTCAACTCGTCCACCTGAAGAGCAGGGACAATAATAGGCTGGACAACTACATCCTGCTTACCCTTTGATGTGGCCTCTTTGGTCTGATAACCTGCATTTTTTCCGTATCGCAAATAAATATCTATCATCATAAGACTTGTGCATGTGTAGTGATGGGTTCTTCTGTTGGTAGTTTTTCTGTTATCAACATATTTTAATGTATTTACTATTTAGTATTACTATCCACAAAACTATCGACTTCTCCTTCTCTCTGCAATCCTCTGCCTGTCAAGAACACATATCATCTCAAGGTATTCTTTCTTTTATGATTTTGGATTACGCTTGAAATCCTACTTCTCAATTCGTGTAACCTCAAACAATAAGGGACGAATTACAGATTTCGTAAATTGATTCAATCACGATCCAAGCAATATCCAAGTGTGTATTGTTAAGATTCTTTTGAGCAGATTTTGTGTTGATACCACAAACTTTCAGGGTATTGAGATCAACACCATTTTGAACTGGTGGTGCACTGTTTGGTGTGTGGTATATAAGTGTGTTTCTATTATAGGTTAATGATAGTCAGGTTCACAAATACCTGAATTGGAGGGGTTTACACTATTAGCCACAGAGTTTGACTGCATTTCATCAGACTGAACAACAAATCAAGCAAATGAATTACACAATCATAAATAAAATTAACTTGAAAAAAAGGGAAGTTGAATTCTGAGCAGGTGACATCTGAAGAAATTTAGAAACTACTGAAAGGTAAAATATACACACCTTTTCCTTATTTCGTTTGAACAATTTATGACCTCTGCTTTCGCCGCTTTTCTCCTGGGTTGTGTTACCTTCATCATGGCTACTTGACTGTTCTTGGTTTTGTGTCGAACCAGATGAATCCAGCCCAAACTGTACGACACACAAACAAAAAAACTACATATAAGCAATCATTGAAGATATACATACAAGACCCTTAAATGCATTAAAACAATGTAATACAGAAAAATTATATACATATATACCTTTGCCCATATTCGTTTGAACCATGTATCGGAATCAGCAGTGCTTGGATGGCTATGTGGTTGCTTAGTGATGATAGATTGTGAACGAGCTCCTTGCTAATTTTGAAATTTCACAAAAATAAATAGATATTAACATCCGCAAACTATGTTGAAATCCAGTTTCACGTAATTATCTACATGTACGTATAGCATTAGCAATTGATAGTGTCTTTCAATCATATCAGTTTTTTGTATCTTTATATTTTAATAATTAAATATCGTAAGTAAAATAAACTTTATAGAAGTATGTAGTGAATATATAAAGGTTTTGAAGGTTGCTATCAAAAGTAAATATTTAAATAGTTTATTAGAAACAATGTTTATGAATATCTATAACTATACTAGTAATAACTAAATTGTATCATAATGTCATGGTGACTAATATAAATTGCAAAATAATCATTAAATGAGTTTATCAAATAAAAATATAAAAATCATACTTTTTGCATCCAAAATTTTAAAATGTTATCTCAAATTCAGTAATAAGATTGTCATACAATTCGGTCACGGATTATTATCCAATAATTTCCCAGTGGATTATATATAATCTTTTAGCATAGGTTGATTAATGACAATCCAGTCCAAACTAAACACACGTGACACGTGATAAAGGAACATCATTAATTACTTACTTGATATTCTAATGCACTTTCAAGTTTGCTCAAGACGTCGGCCATCAATGGACGGTCTTCCAAGTCTCTCTTAATACATCGATAAGCTATTGTGACAAATGTATCCAATGATTTTGGATTCATTCCTTCTTTTATATTACCACATATAAGATCACTTATTTTGTTTTGTGAATAGTACTCTCGCACCAAACCTGTTAAAGACTGATGAATGCCATTATTGTTAGTCATACACAACCTCCCTCACAATACTTCAAATAACACTACCCCAAAAGAATAAACATCTGATTCTTTAGTTAATAACCCTGTTTCAATGTATAGTGGATCACAATACCCAAAAGTGCCTACGGCATGGGTGACAAGAAATGTGTATTTTTGATTGGCAGGGCCAAATTTGGAGAGACCTAGATCTCAGATCTTAGCATTCCAGTTCTCATCTAGTAGGATGTTAGAACTCATAATATCATTCCAGTTCTCATCTAGTAGGATGTTAGAACTCTTAATATCACGATGTAACACTCTTTGTTGGGTTCCACCAGGATTATGAAGGAATGCTAGTCCACGTGCCACTCCAATGCAGATAGTAAGTCGCCGAATCCAAGTTAGATCGTCGTTATTGAGATATGAGTCAAGACTTCCTAGATGCATATTCATACACAAGAATCTTCTCGTTACTCTCGTCACAAAATCCTAACAGAGAAACAATATTCTCGTGCTTGTATAGAGAAAGCATAATGATCTCTTTCCAAAACTCGGGCTTTCCTTGTCCAAATTTTGGATCTAATCGCTTTAAAGCAACAACTATCTTCCCTTTGGAATGAACGAGCTCTCCCTTGTATACTTTGCCAAATCCACCTCTACCGATGCAATTTTCATCAGCAAAGTTGTCGGTTGCTAATTTTATAGCTTCAAATTCTATCTTCAGGTGTTCAAACTTATCCATGAGATGCAACATTTTGAGGGTAGAAATTGATATAACTGGAAACAAAGTTGAGAGCTTCAGGGAATAGCTTGAGAGCTTCAAGAAAAAGCTTGATGGTAGAAATAAAATGGATAGAAGCATCCCTTAGTAATTTTTATCTTAATTTCCCTTTCAATACTCACCGAAAAGACAACTGCAATTCCTAATAACGTGTTTTTTTAATTCATTTTGATTATTCTAATATGTTACTTTTCCATTTTTAAAACGAATTACTTTAATTACTGGCACAATAATTCTACTAGGTTGGGTATAATATAGTAAAGAAACATTGGGGTGGGGACAGGCTCAGTAATTGTATTAGGTAAGGTATATAGTAATGAAAATTTTCTGCACTAAGCATGTTAAAATAATATATCAGTATTAACTCGCTTTTATAAAAGAACACTTTAATCAGGTAACAACTTTTTTTTATTTTTTTATTTTTATTTATTATTTTTTTTTGTTTTGTAATTGGCTTTTTGAGATAATTAATTTAGGAGTAATTTAAACGAATGATTGGTGAATATTTTAAAAAATACAATTATTCATGAATCTGGTAAAAAATAAATAGTGAATAAACGAATACTCACTACAAGAAACAAGATCATTACTAGCAACGTTCTTAGCGGCGAGAGTCGCCACTAAAAGTCATGTCGCCGCTAATAACGTCGCCGGTAATGCTTTGGGGCCGAATCCGCACTAACACATTCCGGTAAATCTCAATCGTTCGATCGATGATCTAATCCAATGACTACGGTTCATTTTCGCACAAACTCAATATCGGCGACAATTTGTCGCCGCTAAAGGTCGAAATTGTCATCGGTAAAGGTCGAAATTGTCGCCGCTAAAGGTGGAATAAAAAAAGACGCGGTAATCTTCCTTCCAGAATTGTCGCAGTTGTTGATGTTTGTCGCCGCAAAAGGTTGAAGTGTCGCCAGTACGCCTTCTCAAATAAATAAATAAATAAAAAGAAAGAAAGAAAACCGCCCAGGGTCTTCACCTTCCGCTTCTTTCGTTTCTACACTTGCTCTAGGTTTTTTTTCTTCCCCTTTTCTGTCCATCAACAATCGGATTCAGCCACCAAGTAGATTCCGACAAAGGGGAACCCCTCATTGTAAGATTACCGACGAAGGGGAACATCAATTTCCGGCAAAAACTTGTGCATCTCCAGCAACGGTATGCTTTAGCAACGGTATGCTTTAACTTATGATTTCCCTTTCTCTTTCTCTTGTAACATCGATTTGAAGCTCCATCTTATGATTAATTGGAAAATAATTTTCAATTTCAGCTTTTTTTGGTCTCTTTGTCTTGGTCACCATCGGGTATACTGTCACTACCGAGGACCACCACCCAACACTATACCATCTCTTAAATTCCTGCCACCACAGGTTCAGACAGTTTACTTTGAATTTCAAGATTTTTTTCCAAAATATATGTGTTTGTATATATTCTGTGGAATTTCACATATGTGTGTATAAATGGTGTATTTTTTTCATTATCAAGTGTTTTTTTGGTGTATTTGGTGTATGTATGTGAAAATATGTGTCTTTGGTGTATCTATGTGTGTATAATATGTATATGAAAACGTGTGTATTTTGTTTAAGTAGGATAATATTATGTATATATGTGAAAATATAAGTAGGATGCAATTGTGTATTTCGTATATGTATGTGCAATTTGACATATGTGTGTATATTTGGTATAATATCTAGGTGTATTTTGTATATGTATGTGAATATATATATATATATATATATATATATATATATATATATATATATATATATATATATATATATATATATATATCAATGTCTCTATAAGACTGTATGTGTATATGTGGTATATGTATGTGAAAGTATGTGTATTTGATTATAGTAAAAATGTCTTCATGATGCACATAAAAAAATATGTGTTTTAATTTCAAGTTAGTGATTTATTTAATTTGTATATGCATGTTTATATGTCTAAATAGGTTTTGCATGTTTATGAGTTTATTTTATATGTGTATGTGTTCATTATATGTGTAGTTTTTGTAACACCCCGACTCCCAGGTATAAATTTTAAAGTTTTTGCATTCATTATTTGAGACCTACTCGACGAGTTAGATGCCCCAACTCGTCGTGTAGAGACTGGTCAGGCCGCATGGGTTATGGAACCTACTCGACGAGTTGGAGGACCCCAACTCGACAAGTAGAGGTTGTGCATGAAAACCCTAATTTTTAGGGTTTTCACCCTATTTAAAGGACCTTAAGTCCTTCCTTCCAGCCTCTTTATCACCTTTTCACGTCCATAAGAAAACCCTAATCTATCTAACCCTATTTTGAGTGTGTGTAAGGCTAAAAGTGTGTATTTGGTGCATTTCTTGAAGAGGTTTGAAGAGTTAGGAGCTTGGAACGAGAAGGGGCTTGTAAATCCAACATCTACATCATTTTGGCATTCATTTGAAGGTAAAAAGTTATTACCTTGATCATTCTCTTATTAGATCTATTCATCCAAGAGTGTAGGGCCATTTCTAGCTTATCCTTGAAGCATTTCTCATTTTGAGCACGATTTGAAGTTGTAACTTCAGATTTGGACTCCTCTAGGCCGTCATTAACATACAGCCTCAAGCTTTATGAAGCTTTGGCCCTTCTCCTTGCCCTAAACCTATTCCTCAGGCTAGTCTTGAGTGTTTTAGCTTCTTGAAGCCTTGCATGCACGTAAAGTTAGCAACTTTACTTGGTAACTACACCCTAGGAGTTTAGATCTACAGTTTGGAGCCTTGGTTTCGCTTAGAAACGTCTGAATCAGAAAAGGACTTAAGGAACTCGACGAGTTGGATGAGGGTTTCCCACTTTCTGGATTCTGCATGAACTCAGCGAGTTACCGAGATGACTCGACGAGTTGGTTAGGGTTTTCCCAATATTTTGGATGCTGCATGGACTGAACGAGTTACTTGGTAACTCGTCGACTTGACTAGGGTTTTTGCGACTTTCTGAGTTCTGAAGGAAATCGAGTAGTTTGTAAGCTGCACTCGACGAGTGGAGTCAACATGGACTGTTGGCCTTGACCGTTGACTTTGACTTTGACCAAGAGTTGACCAGTTTGACTTCTGAGGGTATTTTAGTAATTTGGGAATTTATGGAAGTGGATCATTGTGTTGGGTTTTGAGCATAACATCAATCATATGGTGTACATGCAACCCTAATTTCTTTGGATCTAGGTTTTTTAATTTGAACATACAACTATAATTACTAAAGCAATAACCCTATGACTAGCATACATATATCGAAAATCACATATGATTAGGGTTAGAATCTTTACCTCTCTTGTTATGTAGCAATAAAAAGTTTAATCCTTCTTGATCTTGACTTCTGAAAGCCTAGTGCCCCAAGTGTTGCACCTCTAATGGAGTCACAAACACCCAATGCAAGGAGGATGACTTGGGAGAGAAGGATTTCGTCTAGGGTTTCTTTCTTGAATGCTTAGGCCGAAAATCCTTAGTCATGGGGTCTATTTATACTTGTGGCTGCTAGGGTTTTAGGTGGAAACCCTAATATGACTGCTTAAGCCTTAAGCAACCCATGGACATCTTCTAGAATAGCCCTTGGACGAATTCTTTATGGGCTTCCCATAGAATTCGTCCAAACTTATTCCAAGATGATCCATCAGCCCAATTGCAACTATCAATGATCTGCAATATTAATCCCCAATCATTTAATCAGTCTCTTTTGATCACCAAATTAATTTCTAATCAATACTAATTAAATAATATGATTTCCAAATAATATATTAATCTTGTAATATATTAATAAAACCATTTTGAGTACTAATTTATTATTCATATAATAACTTTTATTCTCTCTCCTCCTGTCATCCTATCAAGTTGCATGAGTGAAGGCAACCCAAAAGGACCATGCTCATAATCAAATCAAGTACATACCAAAAATAGTTATGAGCTTAGATACATAATCCAACAGTCTCCCACATTGATAAGTCTAATAATTATTATTGCGTACGACTTCAGAATTTAATTAGCAATCATAGCTTTCAAAAGCCAATGTCGAACTCTGATATTATCAGCAACGCGTCCTTTAGATAAGGGATCATATATTCCTCCATTCTTAAGATATCGTATAGACATGAGACATGGATTATAATCATTCTCTTTGTCTATGTGTTGTTTCCCAATTTCTGATTTATGACGACTGACAACATATTACAATTGAACACATCATTTAGTCCAGGATTGGCCAAGATCTTAGGTGTCATCACTAAATCATCGAGGGGCCCACAGATATCGCTTTTATCCCACTTTGGGTAAAAGGAACGGATAAAATTTGAGTCATATGCTTGCTCTATTTACTCATCAAATCACACACAACAATATGTTTTATGACACCAAGTCACTGGTGCGTTTACATATTATCAATGAGAAACCGACTTGTAAGCTGCAACTATATGTCTCCGTTTCAAGAATATAAGATATTATCGTCTCACAATCACTCATGATAAAATCCATGAAGTGATTCACGTGAGTGTGGGCTTAATCCAATACTCAAATCTTATTTCAGGAGCACTGGTGAACACTGCAACAGACTTTTTCTATGTCTAAACACTTAGACAATCTACAGTCGGATTCATGACAATCTTACCTCATTACCTACTTCCAAAGTATGATTGACGGTGGATGTTTTGATAATCTTATTTTTTGAGAAGTCAAAACATGCGAAATGAAACACAAGAACAATCAAATACAATATGGTCTCATCACTTTGAGTATAAATAAAACACCTTTTATTTAATCACCATATCGATTACACATTATTCATTGTATAATGTTTCGGATAATCAACTTAACACTTGAATTGAAACAATAGGCATCCCATGCTCCAAGCATGCACACTATGTTTACCTATCGTCCTTACTTTGTGAAATAGATCAATTGAACACATTTCCAATGATGCTCATTTCATAATTACCAATCCTTATCATAAGTGTAAGAATAGCAAATTCTTGATATGTGTTAGATTCTAACATTTTACGTAATGATCCTTTTTGTAATGACATAGCACCAAAGTCACAAAGACTTTGCCAATGATATTACAAAGTGCTCTATTGGAGATTGTTACAAGACAAC